GAGAGAGAGAGAGAGAGAGAGAGAGAGAGAGAGAGAGAGAGAGAGAGAGAGAGAGAGAGAGAGAGAGAGAGAGAGAGAGAAAGAGAGAGAGACAGAGAGGGGAGATTAAACGATAGTTGCGTCGATGGATGTCACATTTAACGTCGTGCTTGTCGTTTCGAAGTTGAAGGTGACATCCATAACGACGACAACTAACTTATATACACGACGACGACGAAACGATTGGTACATGGACATAGAGAGAGAGAGAGAGAGAGAGAGAGAGAGAGAGAGAGAGAGAGAGAGAGAGAGAGAGAGAGAGAGAGATCGGTCATGCACTTTCCACATCCAATCGCCGGTTGGCGCAATGCAGGGCATTAAAAAGACACACACACACACACACACACACACACACACACACACACACACACACACACACATAGAGGCAACCGTGCACTACTCTTCAAAGGTGCAAAACGAGAACGAATCTTCCCCAACAACATGGAAAGATTCATTTTTTTGTTGGTGTAGTTTTTTTTTTTTTTGCATTTCAAGACTGGTGCATCGACGCCCCCCCCCCCCCACACACACACACACACACGCACACACACATCTTCACACACACACACACACACACAGGTCGACACACAGGTCGGCACACAGGTCAGGACGTGACAGCGGCAATGGCAAACGCCCGCGTCCCTCTATCGGCCAACGTGCGGACATCCACCCCCCACCACTCCACACTACAGGTCGTCGGCGAAGCGACACGACACGACGGTCGGGGCCTGCAAAAAAAAAAAACACAAAATTTTCACTCCCTCGAAAGAAAAAAAAAAAAAACATAAGGACAACCTCATGCATACAACAATCATACTGCAGGGGGATAAACAAACACGGGTAGTAGTAGGTTGTACAGATGGAAATAGTTTACCTGACGATTCCCTGCCTCCAGAACTCCTCCTGAGTTCCGGCAGAGCTCTCGCAATCGGTGGGTGGACTCCCCACAGAGTCTTGACGCGGACCTACGGGTTGCAATCCCGCCTGCCGCCTTCCTCTCGTAACCAAGGACTAGACTGAGACTTAGAAGGGCAGAAAGAGATAGATTTGAGACTCTCAGATCCAAGAATGGTGCTCTCAGTCTCGCAAGAGAGGGCCTTGTAATCTTGGATCGCCTGAGGGCCCCACAATGGCGGCCAATGTGACAGCTTGCTCAATGCAGTCCAACTGCTAAAGTTGCCTCTCTTGCCAAGCCTTCAATCTGCAGCATCACCCTCCCGCCCTTGAGGCTAGTCTTTCCTTTCAGTCCCAATACCTCTGCCCAGTTCAAATCCTTGCTACACATCAGTTTATAACAGTCCTGCCAGCAACAGCAGTAGTGTACAGCGCTGGCCAGCAACAATAGTAGCAGTCCACCCACAATAGTAGTAGCAGTCTGCCTTGCAGCAGTAAGAGTCCGCCTACAGCAACAGTAACAGTCCGCCTACATCAACAATAACAGTCCGCCTTGCAGCAGTAATAGTCCGCCTACAGCAGCAGTAGCAGTCCGCCGTTCACGGTCCAATGTCCACAGTTCATTGCCCACTGGGAAGAGCAGCGCCTCGGTCACATGGGTAAGTGCCCTGAACACGGCCTGCTCGTGATCCCCGTTCCACAAACCTGGCAGTTCACCCTCCTGCAGGTAGGTCCTTCAGTCCCCGTGACCCGCCACCTAACTGCTCCGAGTCACTAGTACGCCCCCGTTCCCGCTGCTCGTACCTCACCAGGTACGTGTACTCTCACCACCTTTCCCATCTCCTTGTCTGTCCACTCCACTTCTGGTGCAGGACGTCGTATCACGCCAATTCCGTGCCTCCTCTCTTGTACAAGGTAAGCAACTCTTCTCACTCTCCCTCTTGCATGCCGGGCACCTAGTCAAGTACATGGCTCAGCTCGTTCAGAGTTATGAAGGCAGAGTGGGAGAGCGTCACCACCCCGCACGTCGAGCTACTCCGCAGCTCGGGATCACCGCTTGACCCCTCGCTTGCTCATCCTGTCGCTCGCCTCCGACTGCGCCTGGCGAGTTTCCCTCTCTCTCTCAGCAGGAAGGACGTCGCCTCAGCCACAACAGGTAAGCCTTCACCCCCACGGATGCCCTCCCACCACTTGTCTCAGTGGAGTATGAGAAACTAAATGAACTCGTCCGCATATGCGGTTAGATTCACTCCCCTTTTTGTAGCCTCTCCTAGGCGCAGCTCCCGGCTCGATCCAATTTTGTCAACTGGACGGGAAAAATTGACTGAATCTTCCACTTAAAACGTGGACAGGTTCATGAGCAAGACTTTCTCTCTCCCTTTTCACTCCCGACTATCTCTGCGCACGACCTTTCCCTCATACAGGCTGATTTACTAACTTTCTGCCAGAACTAACATCACACTTGACTTCGTCATGTAACAAAACCCCCACTTTCACTCCTCCTTTGCTCGATTCCCTCGAGGATCGAGCTATATCCAAACTCACCATTCCCATCGTTTCCCCTCGCCATATCCCGACACACCTTTTCTCAACTAACTCCTGATCTACTAGTCTAACACTACCACTAACCTCAGATTTGAGGTCGCGCAATTTACAAATCATGGATTCGGTCTTTATCCGACCGAAATTCATCCACAAACGCATATTGCCTTTTCTCAACTAACTCTTGATCTACTAGTCTAACACTACCACTAACCTCAGATTCGAGGTCGCGCAATTTATAAATCATGGATTCGGTCTTTATCCCACTGAAATTCATCCACAAACGCACGCAATATGAGTTTGCCTTCCTCCTTTAAGTTCGAATGCACCTGGCGCGAAATCGCGCCAGATTCAGTTCCTCTTTTATTTCACCTCCGCCAATCCTCAGCGCATTACTTCTCTCTTCTACCTCCCTTCCTACTAACCTTCTTCTAAAACTAACTACATAGTTGAAGTCGCCCCAGTTTAAAGCTGATATCCCGACCCTTATTCCACTCGATTTCATCACAAATCGAGTGGTATTTCGACTTCCTTCCTCACTTCACCCCCGCTTCCGCCATAGCTCGGCGCGTTCTTTTTCCTACTAACCTCCTATTCTACTAATTCATTACTAAAACTCACTCCACAGTAGAGGTCGCCCGCCTTAAAAACCCCAGAAACGGATCTTCACTCTCTCGATTTCATCGAGAACCGAGTGAGATCTTCATCTTCCCATGCGGCCATATCCCCCCCCGCTCGACACCCCCGCGCAGTGATCTTTCCTACTAACTCTAAACTTACTAACCTTTGTCTAAATCCGATCTCATAATCGGGGTCGCGCGAAGTCAAACCCTCGGTATGGCACTTTCCTTTGCTCAAATCCGTTCAGAGGCGGCCAAGGAGTGCTCTATCCCCACTACTATACCCATACTCGCTTCGTTCCTCACCGGCTTGTGCCCACATTCACCCCCTCCGCTTGGCCATCCCGGCGCCTTCGCCCCCGTCACTTCCCCTCTTGCGAGTGAGCCCACCTACAGCCTACGCCCGACCATTCCGCCCGCCCTTGTCTTCTTCGAAGCGCATGCACCTCGCGCTTCCCTTGCGCTGATTCATCCCAGTTCTCCCCCTCACTCCTGTTGCCGTCAACCTCGGCGCTCTACGTTGTACGGTCCGACAGCCAACCGAATGTCTGAGTGCGAACAGAAAAAGTGGTCGACTGTCGGACCTCCCAAGATATATGCACTTCACCTCCAAAGGCCGACCGGCCCTTCCCCTCCCCGTCGCACGCACCTAGTACTGATTCTCATCTGCCTCCTTTCTCGGCCTTCCCAGCCCTTACGCAGGCCGCTGACTGACATAGGATATCAGGGCGGCGGTCTGGGAAACCGAAATCCGCCAAGGAGGGCGGGCGTCTTCCTGTATCGAATCGCTCAGGCTGGCAACCGGTAATGCCGAGACCTGCAATCCGTACTCGGCCACTTTGGCTCACTCCGACTCTTCAAAGAGCCGGGGGGGCACAACTCTGTTACCCGGCCTGTAGCATAGGCTTACAGGGTAACTAGCCCAGTGCAAGTCTCGGCGATAAACCTCGGACCTTCGTATGCCGGGGGGGGGCCCGAAGGCCAGTATGGGGAGGGGGGATTCCCCGACCACTACAACCCACCCCCACACTGGCAACAAGAGAAAAATGATAATAATAAAAAAAGATAAAATAATAATCACGAAACTTCAAACTAGGGCCGCCCGACAAAAGCAGGGAGGGAAAGGAAATTCTACTGCCACCCTCGGCCCTGCTGCGCAACCCCACGGACTGCAAAAAATCACGGGGGATCACCTCGCCGGGCCCTTCGCTCTATTCCAACATCCTTGTGCCGCCGCTGCACCCATAAGCAAAGCCGAGGGGGATAGCCCCACACTCCGCCGCCGCCGCGCCGCCGCCCGCTGACCTCGATCCCCGAACCTCCATGGTAACAATCCGCTGTCGTAACGTATAGGGCTATGCCCAAGCTTGAGACTAGCGCCCGCAGAGTAGCATACAAGGCAGTGCGGCGCGGCGCTTTGAGCCAACAGACCGGCTGCGCGGCTCCCAGTGCCCGCGCCGGTTTGCTTATACCGTGCCATAATTGCCCCGCGCGCCATCCTACGACACCCCGCTTACCACACGAAGTCGCGCTCCGCACGCGCGCTCGATTCGGTCAGACGTATCCATCGAAAAAAACATATTCCCTAATTCCTGCTTAATCAAATATAAATAAAAATTAATAATACCATTAACCAAACGACCGATGATCAACAGTAGAAAAGAATCACGCGCGCCTTAAACCTCCGCGCCCCCACACTCTCTACTTATAGCCAACCATCCGGCCACATGTAAACGACAGACCCTGCCGCAACTCGTGCGGCATATTCAGTCCTTAATTTAACTTATTCTCTGTCGAGCTCAAAAACCAGGGCGGTACCCTTGTAAGGGTATTCACGCAGACAGCGGAGATGGTGGCTCTGCTGCAGCAAGTCTTGCTGGAGTGAGGTAAAGAGGATTGATGGGGGCCTTCTGAGTCGTTTTCTGAATTTTGCCTATTTCTGTATTTTGTTTAGTAATTTTTTTGAAGTACTTCAATTTTTTCTTAGCCAAAGCCGGGTAATGGCCCCGGTATCTCAAACTTTCAAAAAAAAAATTATAGCGTCCTCCCTCCTATCCCCGCTCCGGCCTCTTTTTCCGCAAGTGTGCCTCCTGCTCCTACCTTCACAACGAACTGGCGCTGTCACGTAGCGCTGTAGAAGGGCTGTGCATGAGTTCTTCTATTGTTCTTAATGCTTCTTTTTTCAAGACCTCTGACAGCTCTAGAAGCACTCACTTTTTTTTTTCTTTTTTTTTTTTTTACAAGTAAACTCTGCTCATTCTGATTGCCACAAAAGATGAGAGGCCGGGAATTCCTCAACAAGACAACCCGGTAAAGAGAGGGAAAAAGAAAAAATTGAATCTGGGACCATTACCCAGCTTAGGTGCAGGCCTTGGGACACTGTGGTCTAGTAGCAGAATGGCCGAATCAAGACCTCTGCCCTGACACATCCCAACCCTGAGAATAAAAAAACGCCAACATGGCCCCAAAAACCGAACACAAACCAAAAAGGACCACCACAACAAAAGGAAAACAAAAGAACACTTGCCTCAGGCCTACAAAACGCCTAACAAACCAAAAAAACATATTTTTTTGCGAGTCTAGTGTAGTGGAGCGAGACCCTATGAAATAGTGTGAACATAGATGAAAAGCTAGCCTCGAGCAAGGGCCCTAGCTGAGTTGGTTAGGCACACAAGTGGCATTAGGAGGTAGTGGGTTCAATCCCTAATTACGGCCTGCACACGCTTAGTGCCAACCAACTGAGATAGTTGGCTTGCTTCCCGCGGTTGGTAGGGGTGTGTGTGTTGGGGGGGGGTTGTGTGTGGTGTGTTGTGAGTGCTGCCATATAGACTGCTGTTACGCTATGGGGCCGGGGGAAGTGGATGGGAGGCGCAACTACTGGCAAAATGCTGTCTTTGCGTTAGCCGGCTCCCCCCTCCCGGCGCCGCCACCGTACCCCCTGACCACCGCCTATTAGGGCGGGGGGCAACAAGTATCCCCTTCATTGTGAGAGGTCGCTATGCTTGCAGGGGTCGGCTGTATAGGCTTAGTAGTACTGATAGGTAGGTACGGAGAGGTGCAATTGGGAGAAAGGGAAAAAAAGAAAAAACTAACCTCAGCTGCCACGTGCGTATCCACGTGGTAGACGACTCCTCGGCCCTGGAAACCTGTTCGTGTATGCATATGTGTCTTGATCGACGTCTTTCTGCATAGGGCAGGACGCGCTCAGTTGATGCCATGTGTCTATTTGGCAAGACGAACCCGACCCAGCATATGTGATCGGGGTACTCTCTCTCTCTCTCTGTGCCCTGTCTCTTATACACATCTAGATGTGTATAAGAGACAGGCCTGGCCCTCTCCCCCCCCCCCCCCTTCTCTCTCTCTCTGTATTTGCCTGGTCCTCTCCCCCCCCTCTCTTTCCCACTCTGTTTGCATTCTCTCCGCCTCTGTGCCACCCTCGTTGTCTCGCACCGCCTCTCTGCTATCCCTGGTAATCCCCTGCTGCTGAGATGTGGAAGGTATATAGCGAGGCTGGGAGCACGTGATTGGTCAGAGGGCGAAGGGACGGAAAGGGGCAGGCAAGAGAAGTCAAGGAAAGGGAACGTTGAGCGCGATTGTGCCGACAGCTGAGGACAGGACAGAGACCCTCAAAGCAGAGACCTTAGTCGTGCACCGGCCGGTGGAGCAGCGTGGCGGCCCAGAGGACCAGAATACCCCCACCCTCCCGACTCAGTCCCGAAGATAAAAAGATTCACATCGTCTACGCAACGCCATCCTGACAAGGAACGTCACGCTGCACAGGAGAGCAAGAGAGCACCACACACACACACACACACACACACACACACACACACAGACAGAGAGAGAGAGAGAGAGAGAGAGAGAGAGAGAGAGAGAGAGAGAGAGAGAGAGAGAGAGAGAGAGGATGTCGATATCTGCCATCAAGGGTGTGATAATCGAGTGTGATATTCCAATGAAACAGTACATCCTCCGAATGAACAGTGAAATGCCAAACTCCCAGAAGTTCGTGTTGCGGGACTTGGATGACACCCATCTTTTTGTCCAAGCTAACATGGTAACCCTGATCAAGAGGAAGGTGGAAGAGTTCATGGAGAGCAATACGTACGAAAAACCCATGTGAGATGGTGAAGCAATGATTGGGGTCTGTCGTTGAACGGGGTGAAAGAAGAGCAGCTGTCGCTACGTAAGCGCCGCCAGGTGTCACACGCAGATTGCTGCCTTGAGAATATTTGATGACGTCAACGTTTCAAGGGGCGTCTCTCGTGATGATGGTGATGTGTTATGGATGAGGCTGGAAGGGGAAGCGAACAATTCGGTGATCATTTTCAGTCGGGATCGGGCTACCGGAGTTGTATAATTTGGTGATCGTATAGTCGGGATCGGGGTGCTGGAGTCAGTGGCTTATCCGAAGAGAGAGGTCACCATGAGTCAGGGATTAACACGTTGTGAAGTCTGTGGGATAGGATTGGCGGGGCGGTTGCCTGCTATTGGGCTTGGGATTTGTGGTGGTCCCCACCA